CTTAAGTGTGGGGGGATGCTTTGTATCGGTTGGAATATTTATGATGGTGCTTGGAGCCTAGTCCACTGTCCGAATCTTACGATTTGAGGGCTCCAAGTACTGCTGTTTGATCATATTGGCACTGTGTTTTGATGGATGAATTGATTGGTTTTCGGATTAATGCATGACAACTTGTTTGCGACTAGGACAACCTATGATGAGGACTGAGATGTGCAGTAGAACGATGTAGGGGTTCAGTTTTTCAACTGTTTGCTTGCCAACTGTGACTTGATCTGACTTGATCTGATTACTTGTTCTTGACAGTCGTTTATGCATCTAGTTCAGGGTATCGGAATGTGAGATAGAGCATATAGGTAGCCATGTGAGATTTGAGCCTGCTCGTTTCTTTCTTGTGCGATAGATCCCTCTTCCATGATGTGTAGCATTCACGTTGTCACTAGCTAAGATGATGGGGGCATAGGATTAGCCCACGCCCAAAACTGACTGTCCTGATGTGTCATATCCCCTAGTCAGCCCCTTTGAGCCGTGTGTTATCCTTTCTTTTGGTCTATAACGGAAAAATCACCCTTGTTGCATCTTTTAGAAGGTTCCATAGAGTGGTTTTTACATATTCTCTGCTGTTTCTGCTAAATTTAATGTGAGTGTTGGAGGTAGTGCTTAAAAGTTGGGCAGGTGTTTGAAATTTATGCAAAAGTGGTGGCTCTCTTAAGAAATGAAAAGAAAGATGAAAGTGAAACAAAGAAAAAATTGAAAGCAAAAGAGAGCCACTACCAAAAATCTGAATAATGCCCAGTAAGCAGTGTTTCTTAGCAGTCTAGCTTGGAAATGCTGATGTTTATGCCTCCTTCGCTCTTGTGCTCGTAAGATATTGAGTAATGCAGGATAGCAGAAAGAAAGAAAATACCGGGTTGTTGACTGTGTTTGTGTGTTTGGGAAATGTGGAACCTTTTGCTATGAATACTTCCACCACCTAAAAGGCCTTTTCCCCATGTCCAAGACCCTAGCCAGTCATTTGAACCTGTGTCTAAGACCTCCTGATTAGTTAGTGGTGACACCCCATATGTGAACTCTAGCATTTAGAGGCTGCCATCATGGTGAAGAGATGATAGGTATTGAGAGAACCACGGAGTAAGCAGTAGATCTAGACCCCGGGTTTCTTGTTGCTTTTACTTTTCACAACGATCACTCGACTTAGTTTGCTAGATAATAGAGAATCACGGAGTAAGCAGTAGATCTAGATCCCGGGTTGATAATTAAACTTGCCTATACTGCAGTCCCTTTCATTGGTTACACTTGGCCATTGTTAGGTGTTGTGTTTTAGCGTGTCAGACCCCAACTGTTGGCAGGGCAGATCGGAGCGAAAGTAGGAAGGTGCTCCCAAACCCATAGTTGGAGGATGAACATGGGACCACCCGCTTGCTTTGTTTTCGGATCCGTACACTTGCACAACTCCGAATATATCATCGCCAAACAAGCAGATCCCCAACTTTTTCTCCCAATCTCGTCCCAATCTTCCAAAAGAACTCGAAGCCACATACAATGCATATTTCCACCAGACTTGTTCGGAAACAAAAATCCTCCAACCAAACAAATAAGGTAGATGCGAGCATACCTCTCTATCTGAGCATCCGTGGCATCCTCCGGTAATTCCCCAACGGTCCTATAACATAGACTTGTGTAGAGGTGGTACACGACGACCTTCTTGTGCTTCCTCGGGGATGTTGATACCTAAACGCTCGCTTATAAATTGGCCCCAACCATTCAATGGTTTCTGTAAACTTTCTATTATTGCATCATCATCGATAGGAAGCTCTGTAAGCATGGCTACGTCCTTCAACGTAATCGTCATCTCTCCCTCTAGAATGTGGAATGTGTGCGTTTCTTTTCTCCATCTTTCCACCATTGCCGTAAGAAGGTTGTTGTCCATCTCCATCCCCACAAACTTTCGCACCCTCAGCAATCGCGCTCTTTCAATGAAGGGCTCGATACGATCATCCCATTTAGGCAAGCGAGATAGCGACCGATGGGTGATTACGTCAAGTTGTTCCTGCAGAAAAAAATATTAATTATTATACAAAAAAAATTAGAAGAATACTATCACATTTAAAAAAAGAAAAGTAAATGAGGAAGTGCTTACCGGATCTGCCGCCTAAACACTTTCAGATCGATGGTAAGGTTGCTCATCCAACAAATCGGTTTCTCGCGGTCCGCCTTGAATGTATAATCTAGGATCGTAAATACTCGGATTCATCTCGGCAATTTTGAGTGATAGAAGTACCAAACTAAAGAAAAAAAATCTGATGCGGAAGATCGGGCTTAGCTGCAACCACAGAGCATATTTTTTTCTTCAAGAGTGGTGGGAGGAATAGAGGAAGAAGAATGGAGTGGTGTGGGATTTGGTGGAATGGGAGGGGGAATTTATAGGTGCAGGTGGTTGAGGTGGATCGAGTTTAGGAGACTCGAACCACTGCCTCGATTTTTTGGCCTTCGATCCGCGTCAAAAATAGTTCGAGTGCAGGCAAATCGAACGACCAGATCGAGTCTGGCAAACTCGATCTACGGTAGAGCGGGTCTGACGTCATCGATCCACGTCAATTGGATCGATTCCAGTGAGCTCGATCCACGTGCAACGATTTTTCCCCACTCGATCCGCGTCGCCATTAAATCGCGGACTTGGCCATCGAACGGTGGAGTTCGATTCTCCTTACCTCGATCTAGGGTGGAGCGCTGCTTATGTTAGCGATCCATGTCAACTAGTTCGAGTGTACTGTACTCGATCCACACAAATCGAGTTTACCTCACTCGATCCGCGTCGTCCTGTTCCAGCCAATCGCGGTTGTTTCACTCGATGCACGTGGATCGATCCTTTGACAATCGATCTGTTTACTAGTTCGAGTTTGTTAAACTTGAACCGGTTCAAACTTTGGTATTTTGGGAAATATTTATAAAAGTGATGTATTGTGGGAATTACTTTTAATTTTCACTGTATTTAGGGAAATAATCCGATTTTTATGGATGAAAGTGATTTGGGGGAAGAGGCATTGAAAAGAGCATTGATAAAGCGATGGCAGAATTTGGCGCTGAATCTGACTGGCTAAGAAAACAAGCTTTGTTTCAATTCTTCAGATGAACAAACAAAAGGGAAATTAGAAGAACGGAGAGAAGGATTTTGGCAACAGGAGTTGGGGAAGGTTTAGAGAAGGCACTAGTTGGGATGGAGAGAGAGGCAGGACGCAGGAGTAAGTGGTGGAATAGACGGTAGGACGAGGGAAATAAAATTGCTTTCTTTACTATTTCGATTTTAGGAGGCAAAAAAGTGGCGGGTCAAAGCAAAAGTTTGGAGCCAAAAAGGATTTAGCTCTTCTCAAAAATAATTTGGAGTGGCGGGTTTATTTTTAATGTTGGAGGGTTTCGATTTCGGGAGCCAAAAAAGTGGCGGCCCAAATCAAAATTTTGGAGCCAAAAATATTTAGCTCTTCTCAAAAAATAATTTGGAATGGCGGGTTTATTTTTTATATTGGGTTTTTTTTAGACAAAGCAAATCTTTTGGAGCCAAAACAATGTTTGAGAGGCAAAGTAAATTTTTGAGCTAGCTCATAAAAAAATTGAGCTAAGGAAATTCTCCCTATTAAAGTATGGAATAATTTTTTTAAAGATAAATTTTTACATTGTTCACGGGTATAAACCGTGATTAACAAATAATCATGGGAAACTGATACTAAAAACAATTAAATTAATTACCGTGATTAGAGCTATACAATCTAATACAAGAATTTTTCCTGTGACTATTAGCATATTTCTTAGTACGGGAACATTTACCGTGAATAAGATCCCGTGACTAGAAATCAGTTTTCCTGTAGTGGTTGTTGTTGTTGTTGAGGGGTTACCTTTGGAACAGACCTTCAAATCTGGGGCCGAGGGTTTAGTGCGGATTCTGGGAGGAATATCCGGATGGAGAAGAGAGGAGGTGAAGGGATCTTTGGCCGGAAAACCGTCGATCAGAATGCAATAGAGACTAGAAGTATTTTACCTTATTTTCTGGGTTTTATTTATTTTTATTTTTTTATTTATTGTGAAAATGATGTGGAATAGTAAAATATTTTATTTTAATTATTTTATTATTTTTTCATTGCCACATCAGTCATTTAACGGTCAACTTTTAAAGTTGACTGCCACATCAGCGAAAGTTAACGGACTTGGACGGAGAGTGACCGAACTCGAACTATTGAACTAATTTTAGTGACCACAAATGGATTTAAATATTTTTAGTGACCAAACGTGAACCTTTTTTGTAAAGCCAGTGACCAAACTTGTAATTAACCCGAAAATTATATATAACACAAAAAGGAAATAAAAACGTAAGTATATAGGCTCGTTTGCTTGTTGGATTTGAAAATGAAGGTTTTGAGTTTCAAAAATCTTTGGATTTATGATGAATTTGTTGCATCATGTATTTGGAAGAGTACATTGTTTGTTTAGTTGATTTTTTATCATGGATTTGTGATGGATTTGTCTCACATTTTTTCCTTCTATTGTCAAATCCCAAATGAAATGTGGGATTTACAAATCCGTGGGGTCCACGGATTTGGATCTAAAAAATGGGTCCAAATCCGTGGACCCCACGGATTTGTGTCCCTCAACAAACAAAGGATTTGTGTCAACTCCATGATGCTTGGAAACCACGTATTTCATGCATTAATTGTAAATATGTCAAACCAAAGCACTGCCGTGATTTAAAAAAACACCCACCGGTAATGGTTCCGTTAATCGCCGGCGAGCTATCCAGTACCGTATCATCTTGCGGGTCGCAACAGGCGACGCACCAGAGTAAGAAATTACGTTCACAGCAACCCAGGTACACACAAGCAAGAAGTATTGTTGGTGTTGGCGGCATTTCTGTAAAAGAGATCGATGCAAAAAAGTACATATGAATCGGTAATTACAATATAACACAAATCGTTATGACGAAGGGAGGGAGGGAGGGAGGGAGAGAGAGAATCATTCTTTAAAACATAAAAGGTAGGTACGCTTTATTGGCCAAAAACGCTGGTTACTGTAGATTATTTTGTCGTTTTCTGTGTACACCCTCTCAGCAACCTCTTCTAACTTCACCTTGCAGCGACGAGCTCTTACTTTCGGAATCGCTACCGCCTACCAGCCTCGACAGATGAAACCTTCCCATTCCCTGTCCACTCTACCATGCTTTCCGTACATCAAGCCCATGTCTATACTTTTGGAGTGGGTAATTAGCATAAATGGTAACAAACCTTTGCACTTAGTACAAAATGGTCACAAACCTTTAATTTGTAACAATACGGTAACAAAACTTTGAAATTGTATAAAATGGTCACCGCTATTTAATTTATGACCGTTTTGTTTTAAGTGCAAAGGTTTGTTACCGAATCGTTACAAATTAAATGTTGGTTATGTTTTGAGGTCGGGTAGTTTGTTCGTTAAGTATATGACACTAACCACTTGAACGACATATAAGATGCCAGGTCATGTGTTCATCGACATATTTGCTTTGCCGAATAAGAATGCCCTCAGTTGACCTTTCAATTTCGATACCAAGAAAGTAAGAAAGTAGACATAGTTTTTCAACTAAAAAGCAGTCTGGAACCCGTTTGTGAGCCATTGAATTCTCTCATTGTCATCCTAAACAGCATAATTATTTCACATACATTAACAAAACCACCATTCAACTAGAGTGAATTGTAACGGTGATTGAGCGTTCAAACTTTTGAACTTAATTTGTACAAAACGGTCACCAAAAGTCTAATTTGCAACGACACGGTAACAAAAGTTTGAACTGGTATGAAATGGTAACACTGTTTAATTTGTGACCGTTTTGTTCTAAGTAAAAAAGTTTTGTTATCAAATGGTTACAAATTAAAGGTTTGTGACTGTTTTGTACTAAGTGTAAAGGTTTGTGACCATTTATGCTAATTACCCCTTTTGGAGTCGAAAATCTGGAAGGGCACGCTTCCCGTCAGTTCGTCACTCCGATTTGCCTTTCCCGTACATCCAAACCATGTCTTTCTTCTGCTTCTACAGTGTTGTTCTTTCCCCACAAGTTTGCTACGATTGTACTTGGTGGGAGACAAATGGTTCCCCCTCTTTCCCCCTCCATAATCCCCTTCTTCTCTCTTCCAACGAAACCCTAAAAGTTTCCTCGCTGTTGGTAGCCGTGCAATCCGAACCCTGAAGCGGAGGAAGACGAAATCGATTTGAGACAGGAGGACCAACGGCGGTGGAAAATCGCCTGTGACGGTGAGCTCTTATTTCTCAGTCTTCTTTGTTGATATTTGAAATTCACCTTCTAGATTTTGGACTCTTGCTGCAGAATACGGCGGTAGCAATTAAGATTCCGATGACATGGTTTCGTCGAGTTCATACTCGAGCCCTATCCATGGGTAGGAACAACGGAAACTGACGATGGTGGTGATGATGGACAAGCAGGAGGAATGGGTGCCAGTTGGTGGAACCGCCGATGTGGTGAGCTCTATTTTCTCTTTTGTTCACCGGTTGATCTTCCTCCTACCGCAACCCCAAAAAATGAACTTGCTTCTCACTTCACTTGATTTTACTGTTGCAGGCACATGCTAACCATGGAGCAGCAGCAAAAACAAGGTCCCATTCACCATCAATGCCAGACCATCTTCAGGTTAGGAAGGATTTTCTGGGATAAGCAAAAACCAAAGAGTAAAGAGCTAGGAGGACTTTAGAACATACATTTCTGACTGAAAGCACTTACAAGTTTTGATCTTTAAGAGGGGTAGAGCTAAGAATCTGATACTGTGGGATTACCAGATGGGCAATGCTAACAAGAGATAAGGTGAGAGATGGCAAGAAGGTGACGAAATTGCCACTTGAGACTGAAACCAACCTAATCTGAGTTACTACTGAAAATCAATTTAATATTTCTGTTTTGTTCTTCAATCTGTTCCTCTTTGTTGTTCTGAAATTCTCAATTTGTTCCTGTTCGCTTTGGTTCGGAGAAGAGCAATTGAATTTATGTTTTGCTTTCTAATCTCCCTTTGTTTGTGTTTATGATGGGTCAAGAAATTATTTTATTGTTAGCACAAAAGAATTGCTACCAAGGGCTCAAAATTTCGAGTTACACAAACATACTGCTTGATTTCACATTCATGTTTAGGAAGCAGTGTTTTTTACTGTCAGAATCCTTCGGTTTCAAGTTTTTATTTCTATTTTTTTGTGCTGCTGCACTTTTTTGCCTGCTGTTGTGATGCTGCTTCTGCAAGTTCCATTTAACTTGGCAGCTTCAACACATTATGCCATTTAACTTCGTTGCTCAAAGTTTTAGAACCTTTCATTGATTGTGATTCCCAAGTTTGTTTCCTTCCCCTCTCATCTCTGGACTTTTCATCCTCCACATGGTACTAATTATATTTACCATCATCTGCTTTCACAGGTTGATGTACATTGATTGTAAAAGAAGAAACCATCCCATGAGCTTTAGTTCTCGCTGCTTTAGGTCCCTGTTCTCAACTATTTCCATAAAAAAGAAATGTTCCATCAAGAAGGAGACTGTAATCGTAAAAAATGAATGGTAAGTTGCCTTTCTGTTTTGTTTCTGCCGGTTCTCTGTTTTACGTGTATCAATCATGCTAAGTAGGATTCGTACGGGTGTTTCCGTAAAACACTTTGATGGTTATACTTGAACTGCTTCTCTTCGACTGTTTGTATGGGTTTGCTGCTGATTGTTCCGTAGAAGTTGTAGTAGTTGTAGTAGTTGTGGGTTTGCAGTTTAGAGTGACTTACATTCATGGCCACCTTCAAGTTTGATGAATGTTTTCTACCCTGGTTTTGCCTACTCTTTTCCTTACCCTCAATGCTTTGTTTGCATGGAATTCACATGCATCGAACGCATATGCTTCTGCAACTCACATTGCAATGTCACCAACAGTTCCACAGGCTCAAGCCCATACGGACTGCGGAGATAGTAGCTGAAGACGAAGTTAGTCACCAATGGTAGGCTAAAGGAAGTTAGTGGAGAAGCGAATTACTGCTAACTGGCATACCCCATATCCTGAAAATTTTATTCTCTTACCATAATCATTATAACAACTTCATTGGACCTTAAGTGGCTTCATTATAAGTTGTTGATGCAAACTCAGTTGTATGGGTTCGCTCGCATGCTAATTATCCTTTTTACCTACCTTCCACATTTCGAGGGTAACCCTGTTGCCAATTTAATCAACAGCCGCTGCAAGAAGACTTTGCTGGTGTTGTTTTTGTCATTTTCCTCTTCTGTGCTTCACTTGGTTAATCATAACTCGAATTTAGTTCATCAGTTGTGCTTAGAAACTTCAATGAATAGTATAATTCTGACCTCACCAGTGTTCCTTTCTCACCTGCATGTGACTTTGATGATTCATTTGTCAGCCACGCATTTGTTATGGTGAATTCTGAACCTCTACTTTTATGCAGTTTGAATGCTCCACTAGCAGAGATCAGCATGGCAGGTACACCATTAAGTAACAAGAATAGGGAGAAAACTATTGATGCTACCAGTATAGACTCTCATCAACTTCTACCATGGTATGTTTCTTCTTGCCTTCCTTTTTGTCCAGATTTTGTTGGCACCGCACTCAGCATAATCAGTTTGGTGTTTTTATTGTACTCTTATTTTCTTGCACTGATTAACTTAGTGACTATAACGGCTCTGCTTCCACTGGATTGGGAACAACAACTTGCATCAGAAACCATCGCTTGCTTCAGCTCTGGCCAAAACCATCTCACCTTCTGTGTTGCCCGTCAACCTGTAAATTCCTTTGTCACTATTGCCTACACTAACCTTCCTTTGAGTTACATGTTCACTGGTTGCATCACTGTGCTTCTGATCACAACTCAAACATTTCCATGTACATATTATAACGATACTATACAAACCAGCAATGCAAAAGCTTACAACATTTCCACCAAATTATGTACAGGTTTCATATCGATATCGAAAGTGATGACATCTCAATCTCATGCATTCTCCTCTTCAACAACAATGTCGCTACGCTACCTCAACTCTGTCATGGGAAAGAAGTTTACCGTCAAAATTGAACTGGACAAGACACAAAGATTGACAATTCCGTATTTTAGTCATCATCGTATGGAATCCACTTGCCTTTAGACTTGAGACTCATTAAGACTCTACCTCATATTTAATGATGTCGAGACATTTATTCATATATTGTGTTTTCTTAGACACTATGTTGTAATGGTACTTGATGACATATTTTACTTAAGTTAACTAAGTGGAGTTTGCTTATTTGGATTTGACAAGTTTAACTCTTTCAATCATACTGCAACAAGTTGTTTAGGAGTTGTTTAGTTCTCGCGGCGTAGCCGCGGGTATTGATTCTAGTAATTTTTAATGACCGTGGTTAATGTGAAATTTGAGAAAATGAGATGTCCTAAGTGGCAGTTTTTAATTAGTTTTGGAATTAATTTAATGATCGATCCATCTTTTATTTCAACCCCTTAACCATAACCTTCGAATTAATTGGTATAAAGATATATTTGAACCAGTAAAGATTGATTACCATGTTACAGTCACTTGAACAAGGTCTTGAGTTCGGACTTCGGATTCATGCATCGTCTTTCAAGCAATCGTTCTTAATCAACTATACAATTAGACACTTCAATGATTGTCAACATATTTTATGGTTTAGATGTCCAAAATGCATCTAAGCAGCTACACTGTACATAGATGCTGAAGAAAGAAGCATAATTCATGCAATATATCATCATAACTCGAGTCGATATGAGATCATAGCCACCCACCAGGGAGTTTAAACAAATGGGATCAAGATAATGGTTGTGGAATGTTCAAATCAACTATCATATTATTCTAATTATTTTGTTTAAATTATCAGCTTTTGGTATCAGTATGAAGTATAATAACCATATATTCAACACTTAGATATTGATCGACCATTTTTCAAATCATTTCGTCTGTATAATGTGATTCGAGTGGAGAAAGAGAGAGTTCGTGAAGGATAAACTTGCCTGGAGAAAGAAGCAGCTTCCTGGTGGTGACCGTGATGTTGATCATAAGTTGATTGTTCTCGTCGTGGAAAGTTGCGTCCAATTGCTTGAAGGAACCAAAAGCACAGATTACAAGAGCCAAGAGGAGGGCGAGAACAGCCTTCATTTCCGTTGTTTGTTTCAGATGCTACCTACTTAATTAATGGGCTATGTATTTAGAGAATAGTAATACTCTTGGAATGAAAGAAAGGATGAATATATAGATCGAGAGACGTGCGTGTGAAGAATATCAATGTTGACATGCCGTTTGATGCTCCATGCCTCCATGGCTTCCCAAACCCCAAGGGAACTAAACTCATCCATTTTGTATCCAACTTTATTCTTCACATATGCCGTTGGATGCTCCATATCGCTTCCCAACCTCAAAATGAGATTATATATAAAATAAATTATGGTATTGGTGAATTCGGGGATCTTATATCTTGAATGATTTCGTGTCATCGTCAATATAGTGTTTTAATGGAGTTTGAATAAGTAGTTTCGATCTGATCTTATTCAATATCAAGCATATCAGTCTTCTCTGATCCACATAGTCAGTAATCAACGAGCTCTTTTACAACTTCTCTGTGGGTTTCTCAATATCAATTTTCCCTACTAATTAATATTTTGACATGCTCTGCGACATATACGAAAAGCACTGCGCAATGGCTTCGATCTTCGCCCCCAGATCATTCGATATCTCTATTCTTTGTATGAATTCATCTTCTTACCATTCACAACTTTGCACCCACTTAAATCATGTTTTTGAACCGTACATATTAAGATAATGAAAATTTTGGCATGGAGAATACGTTTTTGAATACAAGACTCATTGGCCATTGAGTCCAATTCTCTCTCACTCTCTCTTCGTGGTAATTCTTCTTTTTCTTGTTCGCGGTTTCATGCCCATTGAAATCTAATTTTGAAGCCGTATCCGGGTAATGAAAATAATTATTTTATTTTTGCATAGAGCTATTTCGGAATATAAGGCCTCATTAATCATCGGGTCCTACAATTCATATTCCTAGTATTATAACGAGAGTTTGACTCAATAGTTTCAACTTAATCTTACCCTTAATATGCAAATCGGCCTTCTTTGATCCATAGAGTTATTGATCAGCGAGTACGAATATTTGTGAAGCTTTTCCACAACATTTTTGTGGTTTCTCTTTCTATTTTCGCAGTTATATATCTCTTATGAGATGTATTTTACTAATTTTTTCATACAACACATTTACAGTGCAATATTCCACTTTACGTGAAGCATAAGTGACAGTGTCATATCTAGTTGGTATACAGAGGACTTGATTACTGAGTTATTATTTATTAAAAGGTTATTTTGTAAATAATCCAAACTTTAGGGTTGACACGCCAAAACACAACACCAAACTGCGACCAAGTGTAATCGCAGTCCGGGAATGCAGTAACAGGCAAGTTCTATTATCAACCCGGGGTCTAGATCTACTGCTTACTCCGTGATTCTCTATTATCTAGCAAACTAGTTCGAGTGATTGTTGTTTAAAAGCAAAAGCAGTTAGAAAGCAGTAAACTGTTCGGTTTTCTAAAGCAGGTAAGAGTCACTCGGGATTGAGTCCCCCTAGCCCCTTAGTTAGGTTCAATTGTAATTCCCTGGGTTGATTTACTGTTGATTAGACTGCGGAAGATCCGACAGTAGCTTGGAATCTCTTAAGCTGACCAAGCCCTCTCAGTCTAACTACCCGGCAGATGACTAGTCTTCACCAGGATAGAAAGCTGAGGCTATGAACACAGAACTCCACTACTGGAATTGAGTTCCAGTACAAAGCAGTAAACTGGCTAACTCTCGTATAGCCAATCTCCTACTATCGAATGAAGAAGCTCTAACAACCTAATCAGATTCTATCTATCTCAGGTTGCAGCAGAAATTGAGAAAAGCTGATCAGACTCCAATCAATTCAATAAACATGCATCATTCGATTAAAATCAAACAATAATATCATCCCAAGTCATTACAATCGATTCCCTAACACAAGGAACTAGGGTTCTTCATACCCAAGTGAGAGAAAGGTTCTACTCCATAGAGAGAGAAAGGAAAACAGAAATCAGAGTAGTCATACTCATAAAGATGAGGAAAATCTGCTCTTGGATGTCAATCTTCACTCCTAGGGACGCAATCTGGGCTTCAATGATGAGAAATCCACTCCAAAATAGCTCCTAGGGTTTGTTCTTCGCTCTTTCTCTCTCTAAAACTCTGTTTTTGCTCAGAAAATCGAATTCTCTTTCCTTGGCTCGAATCTGCCTCCAAAAACCCGACTCTGGGCGAATTACGGGCAGAATTACGGCCGTAATCACGTCCTGCCCGTAATTCGCACCAAAACGCACGTTTCACTTAAGCTGCAGGAGGAGGAGATACGCCCGTAATTTCCCAATTACCGCCAGTAATTTGGGAATTACGGCCGTAATTCTTGGGGTCTTGCCCGTAATTTTACCACCGAGAAGAATTGCTGGG